CTGCCAGCCCCTCCGCAGGCGTCGCCGCCCCATTGTCTGTGCCCGGCGTCCTGCGTCCACCCACACGGGGTCCCTGGTCAGTCTCTTCCAGCCCCCCCCAGACCCCTCCGTCTGCTCCATGCTCCCTCGTCTTTGGGCCGCTTTTGTTCGTCGGTGTATTTTGCTCGTTAGATTCCACGCAAGGCTGAGATGGGGTGACGCCTGCTGGCTGCGCCCGGCTCACGTCGCTCGGCGTCAGCGAGTGTCTCTCCGTTTCAGTGCTGCCGGCCGCCCTCGCAGCCCGGCTCCCTCCCGTGACGGTGACGGCGCAGCCCCCGGCCTCCCCAGGTAGGCCCCGCCCGCCCTGACCGCGCCTGGCGGCTGCTGAGCCCCTGCCCCACAGCCCGTGGTTCTGCCCGTCGCTCGGGGACGCGAACGTCCCACGTGAGGTCGCGCGACCGGAGGAGGAACGGACAAGGGGACCCCGGGTGTCCGGATTCACGCCGTCCGGCTCCACTTGATGTTTGACCGTCTGTGGTTTTAGCGTCAGAGAGCCTGGTGGCAGGAGGCTCCTCGTCTCGCCCTGTCGCAGGGAGGAACGGGACGGGACGGGGAGGCGGGCGCGGGCGTCAGGAGAGAGGGGCCGTGAGGGCCACCTCACAGCCTTGAACTTAGGACATCAGTGAGAGCAGCGGCCTGGCCTCTGGGAGTGTCCGGCTGGGAGGACGTCACCGTAGTCCCCTATCGGTGTCCCGCAGACGGGACGCGGCTCCCCGGCCGTGGCGGGCAGGGGCACCCACGCGGGCCCTGCCTCTCATCACGGTGCCGGTCCTCCTGGGAACCTGAGGCGGGTGAAAAGCCCTCCCTTTCGTTCAGGAGTAAACGTCGGGGGTCATTTTCCTTGAATTGTCTTTTCCCAGCCGCGCTCTCGGCTTCCTCCGCCCCGGGGGACACGGGCCACCCAACGCCGTCGTCAGGTGGGTCAGCCAGCGATGGGTTAAAACAGCAGCAAAAGGGACGTGAGGCGTTGTTCGTGCCGCTTCCAGCCTTTGAAGCCCATAGTGAGGATGCCCCGAAGCTCAGGGCCGGGGAACATCCCCGACCAGGGCTCTGGGGACAGCGTGGTGCCCGGCGTCGCCTTCAGCGCCGAGCTTAAGCTCCACGGGGAGGGGGGTTTCTGTGCCTTGCTCGTCAGGGCACCTCCAGCACCCGGAGGGCCAGCACCAGTAGGTGGCACGGGCTCGGCACCCCATCAAAGTAGATGGGCGTGCGGGGGGTGCGTGTGGGTCACTTCGGTCCTGGCGAAGGGCAGGCCCGCTGGGCGGCGCACAGTGGGGGCTGAACCTCTGCTCAGAGGCCCGGGCATTGCTCTGGGAAACGCACCGTCCCCCTCCCCCTCCCCCTGTGCCCTAATCTCCCCGCTCGGAAAGAAGCAGAAGCACCCCGGTGAGCAAACTAGCGCAGCCGGTCCCTCCAACAAACATTTTTATTTTTCAGCCTCAGCAGATGCTGAAATGATACCAACCATCCCACCAGGTAGGACCGCGCTTCCACCGCTGGGTCTGCAGGCTCATGGCTCGCCACCCGGGGGGGCGCAAGCAGAGGGACTGTGGCCCTCGGTCACACGTGTCGTCTGGGGGGCCGTCAGAGGTAGTCAGCATCCTGAATAATCCTCAATAGCCGGCATTGCGAATATGATGATTTTTAAAACTTTTGCCCCGCTCGTCAAGGGCTTGTTCTGCTCCTGCTGAGCACCCCTGGCAGAACCTGGAGTTCGTGCGGGTGAAGGGGGCGGGCATCTGGGGGCAGCAGGGTGACACTTAGGAGCTTTCTACCAGCCGCCTGGACTCGGCTCCGACCTCGTTAGAAAGCGGTTGTTCTTTACGAGCCGGTGGCCGGTCCCGACGTTTTAGTAACATGCGGCGCGGCAGGTAGCTCCTCGGCCGCTCCCGGCTGAGTCTTTCTCTAACGTGGTCTTGTCTGGCTCAGGACGAGAGGTTTCAGCCCTAACCACCTTTTTCGTGCCGTTCTAGTGCTACCTGTGGCTGACTCGCCACCGCTGAGTCGTAGAGCCGATGTTCCTTGGCCCAGCCCGTCAGGTGAGCCAGCTCCTGCCAGGACACAGCACTACGCTCGCGGGCCCCAGGGGAGATCATCACAGCCGGGGAAGGAACCTGGGGGCGGCACAGCCAGAGGCCTCGGTGGTGCACAGGGACCGTAGTGAGAGGACCACGGCCCCCAGGACGCGGCCGAGCAGCTGGGCCACCCACGCCGCTGGCACCTGAACATCCCACTTTCCTGCTATTCCACGGATACATTTTACTTTATTTTATTTTATATTTTATTTTATTATTTTTAAATATATCTTTATTGATTTCAGAGAGAGGAAAGGAGAGGGGGAGAGAGAGAAACATCAATGATGAGAGTCATTGATCGGCTGCCTCCTGCATGCCCCCGACTGGGGATCGAGCCCGCAACCCGGGCATGTGCCCTGACCGGGAATTGAACCCCGATCGCCTGGATCCTAGGTTGACGCTCAACCGCTGAGCCACGCCCGGCCAGGCACAGACGCATTTTAAAGTTCAGACAATACAGAGAATAAGAAAGAAAATGATCTTGTCCCCTTTGCCTGCAAGGATTGCGGCTCACATTTTGTTATATTGGTTTTCCAGTCTTATCAAGAAATAGAACATTATAGACACAGGTGAAGTTCCCCCAATTCCCACCCCCACTCGCTGGTCTCTCCTCCTCCCTCAGAGACAAAAGGTCTCTTAAATTTTGTGTATATCTTTAGAGTTCATTTTTAATATTTTTACAAATATGAATTATACCAGCTCCATGTATGTTATTTTGTGGTTTTTGTTCACGCAAATGATATCAGTCCCTGTATGTCATTCAGTACTTTTTATTCTTTACTCAATGTCACATTTTTGAGATTTATCCATGTTGATACATATAGAGACAGATAGATTTTTACTGCTCTTAATGACTATAGTGTTGAATTTTTTTTTTTTTAAATCTTCACCCGAAGATATTTTTTCCATTGTTTTTCAGAGAGAGTGGAAGGGTGGGAGGGAGAGAGAGAGAGAGAGAGAGAAACATCGATGTGAGAGAGACATCGATTAGCTGTCTCCTACACATGGCCCAACTGGGGCAGAGCCTGCAACCAAGGTACATGCCCTTGGCTGGAATTGAACCCGGGACCCTTCAGTCCGAGGGCCAACACTAACCACTGAGCCAAACTGGCAGGGAAGTTTTGAATTTTTTAATGAACCCCTTAATTTACGCGTTCCCCCACTGGTGGAAATACATTTCCTTAATGTTTCATGTCCACCTGGTTGATGTCAGGTCCTGACTCACCAACACACGAGAGACACGTGTTCCATCATCTGACCTGATCTATCGAGTGACTAACAGGGGCCGCCTCACGCAGTGGTGGAGCTACCCAACAGTTTTTCTAGGATGCGCTTATGGATGTGGAGTAATGAAAAGATCCCCCCTAATTTGTGAGCTGGGCCAATAAGATGCATGCATAACTGAGTGTCAAAAACGTCCCTTTATTTTCATTTCCACAGAAGACTGGCCCACGATGAGGCTCGTGAACGGGACCGGAAGGTGCTCTGGACGGGTGGAAGTTTTCTACCAGGGCACCTGGGGGTCGGTGTGTGGTGACGGCTGGGGTCTGGAGGAGGCGCAGGTGGTGTGCAGGCAGCTTGGGTGTGGCTGGGCGGTGTCTGCCCCACTGGGTTCCCACTTCGGCCCCGGCTTTGGGAAAATCCTCCTGGACAACGTGCACTGCAGCGGTGAGGAGAGCCACCTGGCCCTGTGTGCCCACGACACCTGGTTCACTCACAGCTGTGGCCACGAAGAGGACACCGGAGCCATCTGCTCAGGTGAGGGGTCTTTTGCACTCTAAGTACCTCATGGACAGAAGGGGCTATTATAGAAAATGGGAAATGAGCCAGGGGCCTCCTCCAATGAGGGTTGATGGTTTTCTCTCTCCACACTCGCAGGTTCTCTAGTGGCTGCCTACTCCCCTCCAGGTAAGACTGATTTGGGCAGTTTCTATGTCCCATTCTACTTACTTCTGTCTGGCTAATATTCATTTTCTGTGGTAGACGTGGAATGAAAATGACCTTGTTAAATCGAGCTTTAAGCAGTTTACAGAGCCTGGTTTGATTGGTCCATTTCACTTGAAACCTGAAAGTCTTTCCCAGTCTGTATGCCAACCAACCATAACAGATAGAGCTCAGAACTCAGGTCTGGTGTTGACCTTGGTCTCTTGCACTCAGGCTTTCCTGCTCCAAGAAACCTGCTAATCCTGGCCTGAATTGCCCCTCTTCTGGGCAGGTGCCCGAGGGTAGAGCACAGGCACCCCTTAGGGTGTGTCTTAGAGGACAGGTCAACGTTGAAGAGTAACATCAGCAAAAGAGACTTTGGAAATTAGCTAACAGTACACAACATCCAAGTGCAGGAACCTTCCCAAATCAGAACCAAATTACACGGCAGCTCCAGGCAACTTCTGGACTCTTTTGGGGCCACTGAAGGACTGTAATTGATAGTCATGGACTTTAGGATAGAGTGTTTCATGACTATGCCCATCAATCATCACAAATCACTTATCTGAGAGAAAATTGCCATTCACTTTCCAGAGAGATTAGGTCAGAAAATGATCTGTCTGGAGTCTGTGCAGCCTGATTATTTTTAACAGGCAATGAAATGACATCAGTTGAAAAATTATAGTTATGTGATATTAAAGTAACTTTGTCACTAGAAAAACCCATGGGGCTATTTCAATCCTTTCTTTTTTTATCCTAAAGCAGTGGTTTTAGACGTTACTTTTCATCAGAATTACCCCTGAGGATTTATTAAAAACACATACTGCTGGGCCCCACCCAGAGTTTCTGATTCAGTAGGCCTAGAGTGCGGTGTAAGAATTTGCATTTTCTGCAAGTCCAGGATGCTTACACAGTGGTAGGGGACCACACTTTGAGAACTGCTGCCTTTAAGAAGAAATCTTTTGATTTTTATCCTAATAAGCAGAAACAGAATTATCATCGTCTTCATCATCATTATCATCCTCATCATTGTCACCATCATCTTCATCACCATTGTCATCATCACCGCCACTGTCATCATCACCATCATCACCACCATCATCACCATTGTCATCATCACCACCACTGTCATCATCATCATTACCACCACCGTCATCATCATCATCACCATTGTCATCATCACCACCACTGTCATCATCATCATTACCACCACCGTCATCATCATCATCACCATTGTCATCATCACCACCACTGTCATCATCACCACCACTGTCATCATCATCGTCATCATCATCACCACCACCATCATCATCATCACCATTGTTGTCATCATCGTCGTCATCATCACTACTGTCATCATCAGCAGCATTATTATCATCAGTATCACCACAATCATTAATGTCATCTTCATCATTATTATCATCATCACCATTATTACCATCACCACTGTCATCATCATCATCACCATTGTCATCTTCATCACCATTGTCATCATCATTATCACCACCACTGTCATCATCTTCATCATCATTGTCATCTTCATCATCACCATTGTCATCATCATCACCACTGTCATCTTCATCATCACCATTGTCATCATCACCATTGTCATCTTCATCATCACCACTGTCATCTTTATCATCACCAATGTCATCATCATCACCAGTGTCATCATCATCACCATTGTCATCTTCATCATCACCACTGTCATCTTCATCATCATCATTGTCATCATCACCACCACTGTCATCATCATCACCACCACCGTCATCATCATCATCACCATTGTCATCATCACCACCACTGTCATCATCACCAGTGTCATCATCATCACCATTGTCATCTTCATCATCATCACCATTGTCATCATCACCATCATCACCACTGTCATCATATTCATCATCATCATTGTCATCTTCACCATCATCATTATCATCATCATCATCAATGTCATCATCACCATCATCACCACTGTCATCATCTTCATCATCATCATTGTCATCTTCACCATCATCATTATCATCATCATCACCAGTGTCATCATCATCACCACTGTCATCATCATCATCATTATTGTCATCATCGGCATTATCATCATCAGTATCACCACGGTCATTAATGCCAACATCATTATTATCATCAGCAGCATTATTATCACCACTGTCATCATCATCATCATTACCACTGTCATCTTCATCATCACCATTGTCATCATCATCAACACCACTGTCATCATCATCATTATCATCATCATCACCACTGTCATCATCATCATCATTACCACTGTCATCTTCATCATCACCATTGTCATCATCATCACCACCACTGTCATCATCATCATTATCATCATCATCACCACTGTCATCATCATCATCATTACCACTGTCATCTTCATCATCACCATTGTCATCATCATCAACACCACTGTCATCATCATCATTATCATCATCATCACCACTGTCATCATCATCATCATTACCACTGTCATCTTCATCATCACCATTGTCATCATCATCAACACCACTGTCATCATCATCATTATCATCATCATCACCACTGTCATCATCATCATCATTACCACTGTCATCTTCATCATCACCATTGTCATCATCATCAACACCACTGTCATCATCATCATTATCATCATCATCACCACTGTCATCATCATCATCATTACCACTGTCATCTTCATCATCACCATTGTCATCATCATCAACACCACTGTCATCATCATCATTATCATCATCATCACCACTGTCATCATCATCATCATTACCACTGTCATCTTCATCATCACCATTGTCATCATCATCAACACCACTGTCATCATCATCATTATCATCATCATCACCACTGTCATCATCATCATCATTACCACTGTCATCTTCATCATCACCATTGTCATCATCATCAACACCACTGTCATCATCATCATTATCATCATCATCACCACTGTCATCATCATCATCATTACCACTGTCATCTTCATCATCACCATTGTCATCATCATCAACACCACTGTCATCATCATCATTATCATCATCATCACCACTGTCATCATCATCATCATTACCACTGTCATCTTCATCATCACCATTGTCATCATCATCAACACCACTGTCATCATCATCATTATCATCATCATCACCACTGTCATCATCATCATCATTACCACTGTCATCTTCATCATCACCATTGTCATCATCATCAACACCACTGTCATCATCATCATTATCATCATCATCACCACTGTCATCATCATCATCATTACCACTGTCATCTTCATCATCACCATTGTCATCATCATCAACACCACTGTCATCATCATCATTATCATCATCATCACCACTGTCATCATCATCATCATTACCACTGTCATCTTCATCATCACCATTGTCATCATCATCAACACCACTGTCATCATCATCATTATCATCATCATCACCACTGTCATCATCATCATCATTACCACTGTCATCTTCATCATCACCATTGTCATCATCATCAACACCACTGTCATCATCATCATTATCATCATCATCACCACTGTCATCATCATCATCATTACCACTGTCATCTTCATCATCACCATTGTCATCATCATCAACACCACTGTCATCATCATCATTATCATCATCATCACCACTGTCATCATCATCATCATTACCACTGTCATCTTCATCATCACCATTGTCATCATCATCAACACCACTGTCATCATCATCATTATCATCATCATCACCACTGTCATCATCATCATCATTACCACTGTCATCTTCATCATCACCATTGTCATCATCATCAACACCACTGTCATCATCATCATTATCATCATCATCACCACTGTCATCATCATCATCATTACCACTGTCATCTTCATCATCACCATTGTCATCATCATCAACACCACTGTCATCATCATCATTATCATCATCATCACCACTGTCATCATCATCATCATTACCACTGTCATCTTCATCATCACCATTGTCATCATCATCAACACCACTGTCATCATCATCATTATCATCATCATCACCACTGTCATCATCATCATCATTACCACTGTCATCTTCATCATCACCATTGTCATCATCATCAACACCACTGTCATCATCATCATTATCATCATCATCACCACTGTCATCATCATCATCATTACCACTGTCATCTTCATCATCACCATTGTCATCATCATCAACACCACTGTCATCATCATCATTATCATCATCATCACCACTGTCATCATCATCATCATTACCACTGTCATCTTCATCATCACCATTGTCATCATCATCAACACCACTGTCATCATCATCATTATCATCATCATCACCACTGTCATCATCATCATCATTACCACTGTCATCTTCATCATCACCATTGTCATCATCATCAACACCACTGTCATCATCATCATTATCATCATCATCACCACTGTCATCATCATCATCATTACCACTGTCATCTTCATCATCACCATTGTCATCATCATCAACACCACTGTCATCATCATCATTATCATCATCATCACCACTGTCATCATCATCATCATTACCACTGTCATCTTCATCATCACCATTGTCATCATCATCAACACCACTGTCATCATCATCATTATCATCATCATCACCACTGTCATCATCATCATCATTACCACTGTCATCTTCATCATCACCATTGTCATCATCATCAACACCACTGTCATCATCATCATTATCATCATCATCACCACTGTCATCATCATCATCATTACCACTGTCATCTTCATCATCACCATTGTCATCATCATCAACACCACTGTCATCATCATCATTATCATCATCATCACCACTGTCATCATCATCATCATTACCACTGTCATCTTCATCATCACCATTGTCATCATCATCAACACCACTGTCATCATCATCATTATCATCATCATCACCACTGTCATCATCATCATCATTACCACTGTCATCTTCATCATCACCATTGTCATCATCATCAACACCACTGTCATCATCATCATTATCATCATCATCACCACTGTCATCATCATCATCATTACCACTGTCATCTTCATCATCACCATTGTCATCATCATCAACACCACTGTCATCATCATCATTATCATCATCATCACCACTGTCATCATCATCATCATTACCACTGTCATCTTCATCATCACCATTGTCATCATCATCAACACCACTGTCATCATCATCATTATCATCATCATCACCACTGTCATCATCATCATCATTACCACTGTCATCTTCATCATCACCATTGTCATCATCATCAACACCACTGTCATCATCATCATTATCATCATCATCACCACTGTCATCATCATCATCATTACCACTGTCATCTTCATCATCACCATTGTCATCATCATCAACACCACTGTCATCATCATCATTATCATCATCATCACCACTGTCATCATCATCATCATTACCACTGTCATCTTCATCATCACCATTGTCATCATCATCAACACCACTGTCATCATCATCATTATCATCATCATCACCACTGTCATCATCATCATCATTACCACTGTCATCTTCATCATCACCATTGTCATCATCATCAACACCACTGTCATCATCATCATTATCATCATCATCACCACTGTCATCATCATCATCATTACCACTGTCATCTTCATCATCACCATTGTCATCATCATCAACACCACTGTCATCATCATCATTATCATCATCATCACCACTGTCATCATCATCATCATTACCACTGTCATCTTCATCATCACCATTGTCATCATCATCAACACCACTGTCATCATCATCATTATCATCATCATCACCACTGTCATCATCATCATCATTACCACTGTCATCTTCATCATCACCATTGTCATCATCATCAACACCACTGTCATCATCATCATTATCATCATCATCACCACTGTCATCATCATCATCATTACCACTGTCATCTTCATCATCACCATTGTCATCATCATCAACACCACTGTCATCATCATCATTATCATCATCATCACCACTGTCATCATCATCATCATTACCACTGTCATCTTCATCATCACCATTGTCATCATCATCACCACCACTGTCATCATCATCATTATCATCATCATCACCACTGTCATCATCATCATCATTACCACTGTCATCTTCATCATCACCATTGTCATCATCATCACCACCACTGTCATCATCATCATTATCATCATCATCACCACTGTCATCTTCATCATCACCATTGTCACCTTCATCATCATCACCTTTGTCATCATCATCAGCATTATCATCATCAGTATCACCATGGTCATTAATACCATCATCATTATTATCATCACCATTATTATCATCACCATCATCACCACTGTCATCTTCATCATCACCATTGTCACCATCATCATCACCATTGTCATCATCAGTAGCACCATGGTCATTAATATCATTATCATCATCACCATTATTATCATCACTGTCATCATCATCATCACCATTGTCATCATCACCACCACTGTCATCTTCATCATCACCATTGTCATCTTCATCATCATTATCATCATCATCATCACCACTGTCATCTTCATCACCATTGTCATCAACATCATCATCATTGTCATCAGTATCAACACTGTCATCATCATTATCACCATTATCATCATCATCACCACCACCACTGTCATCATCATCTTCATCATCATTGTCATCTTCATCATCATCATCACCACCATTGTCATCATTATCATCATCACTATTGTCATCATCATTATTATCATCATCACCATTATTATCATCACCATCACCACTGTCATCTTCATCATCATCATTATCATCATCACCACCACTGTCATCTTCATCATCACCATTGCCTTCATCATCATCACCACTGTCATCATCATCATCATCACCACTGTCATCATCATTATCACCATTATCATCATCATCATCATCACCATTGTCATCAGCAGCAGCATTATCATCATCAGTATCACCATGGTCATTAATGTCATCATCACCATTATTATCATCACCATCATCACCACTTTCATCTTCATCATCATCACCATTATCATCATTATCATCATCACCACCACTATCATCATCATCTTCATTGTCATCTTCATCATCATTGTCATCATCACCACTGTCATCTTCATCATCATCACCATTTTCATCATCATCACCATCATCACCATTGTCATCATCATCACTATCATCATTATCATCATCACCACCACTATCATCATCATCTTCATTGTCATCTTCATCATCATTGTCATCATCACCACTGTCATCTTCATCATCATCACCATTTTCATCATCATCACCATCATCACCATTGTCATCATCATCACTATCATCATTATCATCATCACCACCACTATCATCATCATCTTCATTGTCATCTTCATCATCATTGTCATCATCACCACTGTCATCTTCATCATCATCACCATTTTCATCATCATCACCATCATCACCATTGTCATCATCATCACCATCATCATCATCATCATCACCACCACTATCATCATCATCTTCATTGTCATCTTCATCATCATTGTCATCATCACCACTGTCATCTTCATCACCATCACCATTGTCATCATCAACACCATCATCATTGTCATCAGTATCAACATTGTCATCTTCATCATCATCACCATCATCAACATCACCATTGTCATCATCATCACCATTATCATCACCATCATCGCCATTATCAGCAGCAGCAGCATCACCATTGTCACCATCATCAGTGCCATCATTATTAGCATTATTGTTACCAGAAGCAACACCATTATTAGCAGAAAAGAGTCTACCTGGTAAGTTCAACTTTGTATTTCTGAATCACGACCCTGGCTCTTTTTAGTTTGTGTGTTTTTATGGTTATGTATATAGAGAGCTAAGCATTCAAGCAAGAATATTTAGTAAATTATTAAGATATCTGGTATTATGCAAACAAACAGGTCTTTGTGGATGAATTAATTTTCCATTTACAGCTAAGAGGCTGAGGTGGTATTCATGGCCTTCTCTTCATCTGACAGCCTTTATCCTGATCCAAATCCTCATCACTTCCTCCTGCCTGGACAACCACAGGCTTTTCCTAATTGACTTCCCTGCCTACAGCTCTGGACATTCTAATCCATTGTTTGCATGCACTCAGAGTTACCTTGTTTAAAGTCAGGTTTAATTGAGATAAAATTTACCTTCAGTAAAAATCACTGTGTAGTTTAAAGAATTTTGATAAATGATTACAGTTGTGTAACCACCACTATCCTGATATAGAACATTTCCATTATCTTAAAAAGTTCTTTGTGCCCCTTTATGGTCAATTCCCTCTCCTAATCCCCCAGATCATGGCAACAACCAATATGATTTCTGTCCCTGTAGGTTTGCCTTTTCCAGAATATATAACATAATCAGACAATATGCAGCATTTTGTGTTGAGCTTCTTTACTTAGCATAATGCTTTTGAGACTCTTCCATGCAGTTCCATGTATCAGATACTCTTTTTTTTAACCTGAATGGTATTCAGTGTGTGGATGTACCAAAACTCGTTTATCCACTCACTACTGGATGGACATTCAGCTTATTTTCGATTTTGACTATTATGAATAAAGCTGCTAAAAACACTCACATACAAGTGAAACTATTTTCCAAGGTGGCTGTACCATTTTGCGTTCCCACCGGCAAAAGATGAGAGTTAGAGTTGCTCTACATCGGTACCCACAATTTGGATTTTCTGGGTTTTTGTTTAGCCATGATAGCCTCTCTACTACAACGAGATGGTGATATCTCTGTGTGGTTTTATTTATATATATATATATATATTACTGATTTCAGAGAGAAGAAGGGAGAGGGAGAGAAAGAGAGAAACATCAATGATGAGAGAGAGTCACTGATAGGCTGCCTCCTGCATGCCCCCGACTAGGGATCGAGCCCACAGCCGGGGCCTGTGCCCTGACCGGGAATCAAACCCCGATCACCTGGATCCTAGGCTGACGCTCAACCACTGAGCCACGCTGGCCGGGCTTGTCTCCTTTTTTAAAAAGTGAGATATGTGAGGCAGTTCTTCACGTATCCTGGATATGGGTAATGTCTATGTTATTCTTTCCCCACTGCTGACTGACGGTGACCTCGCTTTGTTGTTCCTTCTAGCACATGGCTTCTCAGCCCCTGAGGCCCGGACACCACCACCTGCAGGTACGGAAAGCAGTCCCTGGGTCCCCATGACCATTGGTCCTCTTCGAATTACAAATCGCCGGCAGAGAATTTGGCCCAATTCCGCACAGGGCTTGGTTCCCCTGAAGTCAGACGTACCCTCAATCGGACTGGGCAGCCTCAGTCATGGGTACATTGGCATTGGCCTCATGCCCCTGCCTGGCTCCGGGTAGGACAGGTCATCTAGGAAGGGGGCATGGGTGAAGAAGACATGTACGAGTTATCTATTGCTGTGTAAAACCACCCCAAACACAGTGGCTTAGAACAACCACCATTAGAATTGCCCGGGAGTCTGTGGGTCAGCAGGGCAGCCCTGCAGATCTGAGGCAGGCTTGGCTGGTCTCGTCTGGTCTTGGCTGGTCTCGCCTGGTCTTGGCTGGTCTCGCCTGGTCTTGGCTGGTCTCTGCTGGGCTTCCTTGTGCATTAAGGTCAGTTGAAGACTGCCTGGCCTAGGGCAGCCTCCCTCACATGCCTTACATTTCCATAGCTGTTATCTGAGGTGACAGAGGTGACAGGTCCTTCATCACCCAGCCCCCTAGCTGAAGTTTATTCACATGATTGTCCCAGAGTGTCCATGGAGCACACGGGAGCCTGCCACACCTCTCCGGGGCCTCGGCTCCGCATGGCTCTGGGTGGGACAGGTTATATGCACCATTATTGCTGCTACATTCTATTGGCCAAAGCGAGTCACAGGCCACCAGCCCAGAATGAAGGCAGAGGGAAGTGAGCCCAGCCTCCTGAGAGGGGGCTGCAATGCCCCACTGTGGGGAGCAGGCCACAGGGAGGAGACAAACTTGGGCCGTTCATGTGAACAGCCGGCCACAGGCAACTGCTTTAAAATAGGGTGTGAAAGAGGAGGGCGTTAGAGGCCCCTCGGAACACACACATCTGGGGACACATCTGGGGACTGGCATGGGACCTCCATGGCAGCGGGAGGGTGTGAGCAGCACAGCCAAGGGGAAGCAAGGGGAGCCAGGCTGGGTAGAAGCCAGTCCAGCCCTCAGCGGGCGGGACGCTGCTCTCACCCCGTGTCCCCTACTGTTCCCAGGAGACGGGGCCCCCGTGAGGCTGGCGGGGAGCCAGAGGAGCTGCGCAGGCCGCGTGGAACTTTTCCACCAGGGGACCTGGGGCACCGTGTGTGATGACCTCTGGGACCTGCGGGACGCCAGCGTCGTTTGCAGGCAGCTGGGGTGTGGCTGGGCCGTTTCAGCGCCGGCCGAGGCCCACTTTGGGACGGGCTCCGGAAAGATCATGCTGGACGACCTGCGCTGCAGGGGCGACGAGAGGCACCTGGAGGAGTGCCCCCACTCGGGCTGGTTCTCCCACAACTGCGGGCACGGGGAGGACGCCAGTGTGATCTGCTCAGGTAAACTGGCCCCCTTCCCGGGTGGGGGCCGGCCCTGGCTCGCCCAAGACAGTGCTTTTCAAAAGACGGCGTGAAAATAACGGTGGACAATGGAGCTCACAGCAGACGCTTTCGTCTCTCACTTGCAGATGCTGCAGACCCGGCGGGCACGTCACCAGGTAGGGGAGGCGCCGCCTGCAGGTGCGGCTACTCAGAACTGGGGGAAGGGGTCCTGCCGGGACTCAGGTGTTCCTTGTTCTCTGGCCGGTGGGCAGGGCCGTGGAATCCCCCGATGGCCCCGTGGAGGGGTGGCAGGTACCCCAGAAGCCGCCCCGTCCTGACTCACCTCCTGCCTCTCTCCTCCTCTCCACTGTGCATTCTACACACAGCACACAGGCTCTAAACGCCTCGGATTCTGTGCAGCACTTTCAGCTCCTCGCTTCCGAGGGTTGCGAGGGGGTGGCAATGAGATACGGGCAGGGGCCGGTTAAGATCCGAGAGGCAGCTAAGGACACTTCCTGGCCAGGGGCAGGTGGCTGGTGGGCCAGACCTGGCCAACGTCAAGGTGACCCAGTTCCATTCCCACCCTCTCCTTGCCTCTGCCTTGTTCTTGACACAGCCCTGGCCCCACAAAGCTGCCCTTGCGGTTGGTTTTCCCGTGTGCCCTCAACGCCCACACCCAGGTGTTTTCATGCCAAGTGCCATCTTTCTTTCCTCAACCCCCCAGGTCCCCGACGCCCTGCCTTTAGCCAGCTCTGGGCCAGAGAGGGAGTCGTGAATCAGGCCGAGGGGACTGGGTCTAGTGACTCTTCAGTCACCCCCCCTCCTGGGTTGTCAGCTCTAGCAGGTGGGGATGGATTGGTCCTGGGAGAGAATCTCCCATGGGAAGTCCAGGGCCAGCTGCCACTGGTCGGAGAGAGGTTGGGGCGTGAAGGAGGACCCTAGAGCATCCGTAGGTCCTACCCACCACCCTGGGCAGCAGGTCGAAGGAAGCAGCAAATCGGTGCCTCTTGCCAGTCGCACATCGTGACATCCCTCCACACCCTGGCTCATCCCGAGGCTGGCTCCGTAGTTCTGGGCGGGGCCCAGACAGCACACGTGCCCCTCAGGTCTCACGTGCCAACAGGGCTGTGGGCCTCAGTGCCAGCTGACAATTCGGTGTCCTTTGTATGTCTGACAGGTCACCCTCTGGCTGCCACGGCAGGGACGGCCACCGAAGGTGAGACTTTGGTCATGAAAGTGTCTGAATTTTTTTGTGTGTGTTTTTTTAGGGAGAGGAAGGGAGATGGAGAGAGAGATAGAAACACTGACTAGAGAGAAACATCGTCGATCGGCTGCCTCCTGCATGCCCCCTGCTGGGCATCGAGCCCGCAACCTGGGCACGCGCCCTGACCGGGAACCGAACCAGCGACCTCTTGGTTCCTGGGTCGATGCTCAACCGCTGCGCCACACGGACGGGGCAAACTGTCTGGATTTTGAAAAAATAAAAGAAACAATGTGTCAACTACAAAATTAGTGAACTGAGTGATGAAAAAATGGAAATTCTAAAATACCTTTCTGCCTTCAGTGAGAGCTCCATGCGGCGGCGTAATTACGAACGTGTCCGGAGCCATTCGGAGCCCCCCGCAGAGGGAAATGCACAACAACACGGCCTGCGTCTGGGAGATCAGGGCCAGCGCCTCCCACCACGTGCTGCTGGCCTTTCCGTATCTCCGGTAGGTCGTGAGGACGTTACCTAAGCACATGGTGTCGTTTAAAATTCCAGGCCTTTATTTCCTTGGTTGGTTCTCACAACTAACAGAGTCCTTCGTGTCTTTCAGTTTTATCTTGAAATAATTATAAACCTGCAGGAAGCTACAAAAATAATAAGAGTCCCACGTACCCTTCCTCCTGCCCCCCCCCCGCATTGGTGGCATCTTAATATAACCGTAGAACAACATCGAAAGCAGGAACTTGACGTTAGTACAATACTGTGAGCGCGACTACAGGCCTCTTATTCAGTTGTCACCATTTTTTAAAAAATATGTTTTTATTGATTTCAGAGAGAGGAAAGGAGAGAGAGAGAGAGAGAAACATCGATGCGAGAGAAACATTTATCGGCCGCCTCCTGCACGCCCCCTCCTGGGGATCGAGCCCGCACCCCGGGCCTGTGCCCTGACCGGGAATCGAACCAGCGACCTCTTGGTGCAGGAGTCAGTGCTCAAGTCACTGAGCCACATCGGCTGGGCAGTTTCCACCATTTTCCACATGTACGTGTGTGTGTGACAGGGACGGGGGTCAACGCGCAGTGTGTGTCTGTAGCTCAGCCTGCTGATTAAAGGTACAGATTCCGGGGAAGCCCAGACCTAACAAATCAGAACATGTTAGATTTTAATGCCGTAGTCAAGGTTGACATCCTTATAGATAAATGTCTTATGGAAACTGCCCCCCAGGAACAACTTAAATTATTTATTACTCTTGAACTTTGCTTAATTAAAATCTGACTGGGAACAGAGGGCCCGTGGGGCCGAGGCCTGGAAATGGGTTTCTGATTGGAGCACTAGTGGCATCTGGACAGAACCTGACAATGGAGAAAACAGCTAACTAACCGGGTGGCTTCCACAAGGCCAGTGGGGCGCATGTGGAATCGAACTTCCCTCTGGGCAGGTCGGCCGCGAAAAGCTTACAAATGGCCTGGTGGGAACCGGTAGCCGAGTCCTACGCGGGCCCTGCCCTTGGCCTAGGCTTTGAGGTACCCTGCGGCCTCGGGTCTCAGCAGGGGTCCACCTAGAACTTCAGCCTCCCCTTGCCTGTTCCAGTTAAAATTCCACTTCTTCTCGGAGAGAAAGTGAAATCAAAGGAATCCACCCTCCGTCTGAATGACTGACAAGCCCTTCACCCGGGTGCAGCCTCTTTGTAGTCACGCACACAGGGCTGGCCCGCAGCACGTCTCTGAGGTCTGCCGGTGAGGCACTGAGAGGCACCGTCTGTCTCCCCCAGCCTGGACTGCACCAACGAATATTTCGAAATCCTGGACGGGCCTCCGTCACTGGCCAAGTCCCTGGGGAAGGTCTGCTCTGGCTTCCACCTCACCTACGAGTCTTCCTCCAGCTCCATGACCCTCAAGTACTTCCGGAGATTCAACAGCATAGGGAAGATCTTCATCGCTTATTACTATTCTGAAGCCAAAGGTAAGAATGGGGGCTCAGAGCCAGAGCCTGGAGCTGGGCGGCCTGCCTGGGGGCCAGTTACAGTCCCATTGCTACCCTGGGACCTCGGGCAAGAGACTTGACCTCTCTGTGCCTCAGCCCCTTCCCGGTAGGGCGGGAAGGACGCGATCACCCGAGTCCCAGGTCTGCCGCGTGGGCGACTGAAGGCACCAGGAGAGCACTTATGGGACATCACAGGTGCTCGGTAGTTGGCAGCTGCATCGTGGGCTACTTAGTTTTTTGTTTTTAAAATACGTTTTTACTGATTTCAGAGAGAGGAAGGGAGATGGGTAGAGAGAGAAACATCAGTGATGAGAGAAACGTTGGTCGGCTGCCTCCTGCACGCTCCCCCCGGGGATCGAGCCACCTGGGCCTGTGCCCTGACCGGGAATCGAACTGTGACCAGGGGTCGACACTCAACCCCTAAGCCACGCCGGCCGAGCATGGGCTATTTAGCTTCACACAAGCACCTCCTTACAGTCGGCTCAGTAGGAAGCCTTTTCTGAAGTTACTCTGAATTAGCTCCGGGCGGGTGTGTTGGGACCTGCAGAGGAAGGTGTGGTCCCAGCCTAGGAGGGGCTGCGCACATGCAGAGGGAGTTCAGGACCGAGTCAGGTGACTCATAAAGGACAAACAGAATATAGTAAATTAATGTGCGCCTGCATCTCAGCAAGACATTAGGAAAAAGAGAGAGAGGCTAATGTAGGCTACAGAAAAGCATTAAGGAAAATAGAGGACCCAGCCTCAGATCTGTCTCCAAACCTGACTGGCCGTGAGCAGAGAGGCAGGCGGGGGGCACAGCAGGTGAGAGCCGTGAGAGCGCAGATGGGGTGGAAAAGGCGTGCGGCGAGGAGGCGCGCAGGAGCTGGGCCGAGGGTTCCGGGAGGGGCCGCGTGCTCGGGTTAGGCCATGACAACGGAGCGGTCGACATAACTATTTTGAGCCGGGCAACGTTTTAAGCACCTTACATGTGCTGCCTCCTTTCATCTTCACCAAACCCACGGTTCCTCCCCTTCTACAGACGAGGAAACTGAGGCTTGAGGGGCGCAGCCTTTATCCCGGGGTCGCCCAGCGGTGGGTCCTGCCCCACTTGCCTCCGAGGGGCTGCGCACACAGGCGGCTCTTCGAGCTCCCACCTCGGCCCACACGCTGTTCGGAACAGCCTCCCTTGAGCAAGCGCCAGGGCGACTCGCTGAGCGGGCGTGGGAGACGCGCTGTAGACACAGCAGAGGCCCCGCGTCACACAGTGGATCAGGGACGTCGCCGTCATTGACATTAAACAGTTGTTGGTTGACTGATTTTTTGAGAGAGAAACGCCGACTTGCTGTTCCACTCATCTGTGCATCATCGGTCGAGTCTCGTATGTGCCCCGACCGGGGATCGAACCCGCAACCTCGCGGTATTGGGACAGCACCCTAACCAACCGAGCTACCCGGCCAGGGCGACGTTAGGCAGTCACTGACCGCGGTTTCCTTGTATTTGCAGAGCCGGTCACTCCGACGCCGCATCTGATCGGTAAGTCACACGGACGGTTGTGCCTTAACCTCCATTCCCAGGTCCCGAGCCTCCCTCTGTCCCCACCCCAGGGCCTTTCCGGCCATGTTTGCTGTCCCATACGCGGTGCCCAGGTGCCCACCTTAGCTGGGGGAGTCTGTCCGCACACTTTCGCACAAGGACGATGGTCGCTCACAGTGGAACGTTACCCATGTCAACAACCGGGCCACTGTGCGTGGATCCCTGTCGATTTGATTTCCTGTCAAAAACAATGACACGCACGCAATAGGCCACGTTCGGGGAAGGTCGACAACAACGAAATGAAGCGGGAGCCCGCAGAGGACAGGCTGCTCCCCGAAAGGCCCGGCCGCGAGCGCGTTTCCCCGCAGAGGGGCGCGGTCCGACTGCCGCCCCTCCGGCCACCGGCAGAGAGGGGGCGCTGTTTCCGTTGGATCCACCGAGACCCACGCAGAGAAAGCCTGACTTCAGAGGTCACGTCTGATAGTTGGCAGGAGAAGGGACCTGCCGCCCGCTGAGCGGGGACTCTGCCGTCTCCTCTGGTCCAAGTTCTCCCTTTTATCTAAGAAGGTTTTCTTGTACCCACAGCCACCCCAACAGCGACGCCCGAGGCAGTGACAGCGAGACCAGGTAAGGCCCGGGATGCGCCCGTCGTTACCAGGCATCCTTTCCGTCTCGTGCCCGCGTTCCTACCCGCTCCGCGGGCAGAGGCTGGGCCAACGGCGAACGGACCCGTTGACCCTACCCAAGCTTCTCAGGGCCGTTCAAAACCATTGGCAGCTTTGGGCTCTAGCNGACCCGTTGACGCTACCCAAGCTTCTCAGGGCCGTTCAAAACCATTGGCAACTTTGGGCTCTAGCACCCCAGGGTGAGCAAAGTCCATCTTTTCAGAGCCTTTCAAAGTCTTCAAACTCTGAGCAGGTTACAGCGCCTCCCAGTGGGAGCCTGTCTCTCCGCGGCCCGTCGGGGTCATGTTAACGGCACTCATGGACTTTCTAAGGGGAGCGAGGCAGTGAGCTAGAACAGCAGGGACAAAAAGGAAAATAGTGAACTTTTTTTAAACGAAGGAGCGTTGTTCATTACATGTCGCTTAATCGAGTTTAGTTTGTTGGTTGCTGGTTAGCATAAGGTTACACATGTCCTCTGGAGCACGTCCACCCTTCCAGACGGTGAAGACCCAGCGTTGTTTCCGATTCTCCGGGGTCCCTGCTCCTTCTGCTCTGGGTGTTCGCAGGTCGAGGTGTTGTCCTTTTCTTACTGAATAACGCCTGCATCTGTGGCTCTCCGCAGCCAGGCCGCCCTCCCCCTCGAGGCAGGTGGAGGTGGGGCTCTGACTGGATGACAGCAAAGTCAAGGGCAGGGGTCTTTCTCTCGCACTTTATTGCTCTGTAGTTTTTTAAACCGGAAGAGCGAGTGTTTCAAACAGGCCCTGGTGTCTCCTGATGGAAACTCAAGAGTTAAAATGGCACCGAGCGCCCAGCTGTTTATTTTGTAGCCTCAGGTCTCCTGAGGGGCATGGCCCTGAAAAAAGCTCAGGTGCTTCCCATTCATGTCCAAAAGCCAGGGTCCCACCCAGGTGAGGGAAAGTGGTTCAGAGACGGCCCCCGGCTTGGACTTGGGCTTCAGAAATGCCGACCGGCCCAGGATGGTGCCTCCTTGGCCAGAACGTCCTGAGAGCCACCCTGGCACAAGCGTGGGTCCTGTGCCCACTCTGCTCCTGCCCGCGAGTGTTCTGTAAATCGCTAACGTGGGTGCCTTGGGCTTTCTCTTCCAGCTCCCAAAGTCACCCCGGATTCAACAGAATCGGGATCAACAGCCCCCACAGCTGGTAACCCTCTCACCGTCTCGTCCCCGCCCCCTGGTTGCTGAGCCCTTCTAGTGGGCTCCCTGGGGGCGTAGCCAGCGTGGCCAGTGCCCGCCTGGATTCCCGGCCCCCAGCACCGAGAACACGCAGGGCCGGTGTGCCCGCGGCGTGACCACCACGCGTAGCGGCCTGTCTAGTCTCCGGTGCTCCCCAAATTTTTTAACATTGAATCTGGGCCAACAGACAAGTTTGACCTAAAGGAAATAACGATATATTCAGAGGCTTTTGGTTAGCAACCTAGTGAAACTGTCTCTAAAGTTATATTTATCTGGTCCTTACATTGACCATGTCCAAGGATGGCAATGAAGGGACAAAATGCATGAAATAAGGAATAGCCTGGAGAAGCCAGGGGCTGCGTTTGCGAGCACGTGTTTCGCTTATTCCTGTGGGGCCTAGAGAAAGGAAGGGAGAGACCCCACAGGGCCCGAGGCCAGGGGCGGCTGTTAGAGTCAAAGAAAAGCCCCACTAGGAATTCCCGGCCCGGCTGCCGATCCCATCCCAGTAACATCCCTGGGTCCCCCAGACTTGCCCATCGTCAGGCTGGTGGGCGGGCGGAGCCGCTGCGAAGGGCGCGTGGAGCTCTACCACGCCGGCGCGTGGGGGACGGTGTGCGACGACCTCTGGGGCATCGGCGCTGCCCACGTGGTGTGCCGGCAGCTGGGCTGCGGGACCGGCACCGGGGCCCCGGGGAACGGCCACTTTGGGGAGGGCACGGGGACCATCCTCCTGGACAACGTGCAGTGTCGGGGCGACGAGGCCACCCTGGGCCAGTGCCAGCACCTGGGCCTGTCCGTCCACAACTGCGGCCACCACGAGGACGCCGGGGTCGTCTGCTCAGGTACCCACTCCTGGTCCCTCCTGAGTCTGCCAGGGAGGTTCAGTTACTCCCTGCATCCTTAGCTCTACTGCAGTCTCACCCAAGACGTCTTTTTTTAAAAAATATATATATATATATGTTTTTATTGATTTGAGAGAGAGGGGAAGAGAGGGAGAGAGAGAAACATCACTGATGAGACAGAGACATCGATGGGCTGCCTCCTGCACGCCCCCTGCTGGCATGCGCTTTGGCCGGGAATCAAACTGGCGACCTCTCAGCGCAAGGGGCTCAACCACGGGGCCACACCGGCCAGGCCCTTTCTTATCTTTAATTTCACATTCAGAAGTCATATTTATCTAATTTTTGTATCTCTGAAGTATACATTTTTTTTTTTAAATAAAAAGTATCTTCTAACTTTCCTGTTGGTGGGTGGGATTTTTGTTTGGAGTTTGTCTTTAGTTTGTTTTGTTTCACAGTTTCAGCATCAGCCACGGTAATGACCACCTCAGCGGGTAACTTTGTTTTCTTGCTTGCTTTTCCAAATGGCATATGGTTTGGGTTGGAGTTTATATGAAACTAAGTATCAAGCTCATATCAGACTAGCACAAGGTGCTCGTATATTCACTGAATGAAACGGGAAGGTGGGCCGGTAGCGACTGTGCACCTTTCATGTGCAGGACGCAGTGTGTCCGGTCCGCCCCCTCCCGCCTCCTGCAGCAGCAGGTCTCTCAGATCAGCACACAGCGGAGGGAGCGTCCTTCCTGTTCTCTTATTGCTGTCTTGTTGTTTTTGTTCATTTACAGCTTCGATCTCAATGGCTCCGACCTCCGCGCCAGGTAAAACACTGTCTCCTGTCCCTTAAGTGCCTCTCCTTGGAGCCCCGCTTATCAGACCGGGCTCTTCATGGAAGCACTGTCCCCAGCACGGACTCAGTAAAAACAGAAACCCGGCCCCCTCTGCAACGGTGTGTAAGTTCTCTCTTCTTTTTCCACAGATACCTCTTCAAGCTCGGCAGGACCGTGGGGTAAGGGCTCGCTCACTGTGATGTTTAAATCAGCGAGACCAGCTTCAAACTTGTCATGTTCTAGTTAGAAAATGAGCCGCTTAATGACCATTTTTCACCACAAAGCCAACCTTAGTGAAAAGACACAGAAATGTCCTTTCTCTCATTTTTAACACACAGATGTGTCTTCCACCTCGGCAGAAGTGGACGCCCCGCCTGGTAATGTTTCCTGTGGTCACTTCTCTTAAGTTAAACATGATCAACTCTCCCTCTTTCTGGTTAACAAGTGGCCATATGTACCGAATATTTTGTCTACAGTATAAATCCCAATGTGAGCTGAAGTCCCAGCATCCTTTCCACGGAAAATAAGCTCAGTGTTCTCCCTACTCGTCCAGAGACACGGGACTGGTCCCTGCACCAGGGACCGCCTTCCGCTTGCTGCACTGGTCTTGACCAGACGTGCCCAGGGAGGCGGGGAGGGCGGGAGCTCCACACCTCCACCTGCTTGCCGGGCGATGCTTGACCCGTCCAGCCCACCCAAACACACACACCAGAGAACTGTGTTGTGACAGCATTGATTCTACCCATCGCTCTTCTGTTTTCTACCAACTGTTGTTAAAAAAAAATTCCTTTTTTTTTTAAACTGATAGTTGAGTTTGGCTCTTGTTTGTTTGCAGATACAACTCCCACTCCAAGCAAAGAGCCTTCCTCACCAGGTACACTCTCTGCGCCCCCACAGTGGCCCCGGTGGGTGATTGTCTGAGAAACCCCAGCCCAGCAAGTTCACACCCCAGAGCAAACCCTTCCTGTTTCCCGGGAGGGGGCAGAAGGGAGGGGAGGTGGGGCAGGTTCCAGGCCACACCCCACCACTGGTTACTATTCTGAGTAAAGCAGATTGGGGGGCAGGATAAATAGGCTAAAGTAACGTCAGGTGTCAGCCCTGGAGGAGACTCGGAGATGAGCTACACAGCAAGTCTCAAGCATCAATGTGCACGTGAGCGGCCTGGAGACTTGTTAAGATGCAGGTTCGGATCCAGGGGCTCCGGGTGGAGCCTGGGCTCTACAGTCCTCACAGGCTGCCAGGTGGCGCCCGCTGGGGGAGTTAGGATGCTGAGCAGCCACCCTGTTCAGAAGGGAAATGAGGCCCAAAGGAGGAAGAGATTTGCCTGAGGCCACTGTCTTAGTCAGCCAGGGCTGCTGCGACTGAGAACCACAAACCGCAGGGCATACAGGGCAGGAATTGATGCTCTCTCGGTTCTGAAGACTAGGAGTCCAAGGTCAAGGTGAAAGGAGGATCGATGTCTGGTGAGGGCGAGAGAGACAGAGAGAGACAGAGAGAGACAGAGACAGAGACAGAGACAGAGACAGAGAGACAGAGACAGAGAGACAGAGAGAGACAGAGCACAGAGAGAGAGACAGAGAGACAGAGACACAGAGACAGAGAGAGAGACAGAGACAGAGAGACACACGGAGAGAAACAGAGAGACAGAGACAAAGAGAGAGAGAGAGAGGGACAGAGAGACAGAGACACAGAGACAGAGAGAGAGACAGAGAGAGACAGAGACAGAAAGAGACAGAAAGAGAGACAGAGACAAAGAGAGAGAGAGAGAAACAATGAAACAATACAACAGGCGGAACGCGCCCCGTGCTACTTGTTTCCGTCTTGAAGGACGAGGGGCCCCAGGTCCCCGCCCT